ATCTAGGAAACAGGGCACTTAATTGAAATTTAAATGTAAGGTAGCAGAAATTAATGAAATTCAAAGAAATTCAAACAGCTGTAATTTTTACTACACAAATTTTTGCCAAGAAAAACTTTGAATGTTGGCTTAAAGCCTTGTTTATCTTGTGCAAGTGACACATATATGGCAACTTTTGTGAACCAGAGTGGAAGAATGCTTTAGCCTATTTATTTTCAGGATGCATTACCTGGGTTGGTTTCTTTCTAATTGCAATTCAGCAAATTTACCTTCCTGTTATTCAAATTCAACTTCCTGTGAGGTATGGCCAATTTGATTCAAATTCCAGAGTATGAATTTAAGCTTCAATTCGGAATTTTGCTCAACCCTGCTGTTGGAACAACAATGTCCATTACATAGGGTCATTTACTATACTAAAGCATGTACAAAGAAATACTGTTTCCATATTTTTCCACATTCATGTGTATCATAACTGACCACTGTTACAGAAAGAGTTTTTGCTTACATGCGTCCAGAGACCGTCCTTTATGGATAGTATCAATAAAGTCACTATTGATTACTTTTGGCATAAGCTCTCGTTGTGTCCTGACTTCTGCCTCCAGTTTCTCCAAGTCTCGCTTTCTGACTCGAACAAAGCAGTCTGATCCGACATCCTTTAAACACACAGGACCGTTTTTGTTTACTGTTAGAGGAGGACAAACGTTACAGTTTAACTATAACTATATGCAGAGTACCAAACTTCTGAAATGTAATTTTATATTATTGAACGTCCGTTAACAGTTGAACAGTGACATCTTGTGGTAATTCTGGCGCTTGTGTTCGTCTTTATCATATTTTATAATTGAGGTGGTCAAAGCGATTAAAATGCTTTTGTGACGACAACATCTATTTGGAAAGTATCTTTATATTTACAGGAGTAAATAAATATCAAACAAATAATTAATTAGCGTAACTTGCTAAACACTTGCACAAACTCTTTCATCCACTTCAGCTTTTCAACAAACTTGACCTCGACGAAAATGGTAAAGTTACCTCTCCTGCAGATGACACAGACGAAACATCAGCTGTATTGATTGTTTTCATCTCGAAAAGTGCAAATTTGATAACGTTGGACGAAAGGCCTTTGACCTATTAAAATGTTTAAACGATGTCTTTAGCGCCCCCCACTGTTCGGCGCATAACAAGTCATCTACTTATCACCCATCCCCCAAATCGACAGTAAACACAATAATACAATTTAAAAAGGAAAGATAAAAGATAAGCTTCCTGATAGACTCTACAAATCATCTCTTCATATCCAGAATTCGTTCTGAAATAAATTATACAAGAAATTCTGTACTGGGCGAAAGCATAGATAGATAGATAGATAGATAGATAGATTTATAAAAGACTCATTGAAATACATTCATTCATATACGTGATTTAAAACATGGATTGGCCTAATAGTTCGTGTAGAGCTCCTGAAATCCATGGCGGGTTTTTGTACATCATGTTGTCTAGGCCAGAGCATGTGAGCGGAGCGGAGCGTGAGCGGAGTGGTAATATTTCCTTAAGAGCGCAGAGCGCCTTTCTGAAGATTCCGCTCCGCTCGCTCAATACGCTCAGCGCCACTCGCTCAACCCAGAATGCCGTTTGGTGATTTGCTTGTTCCAGATCGAGAATCTGCAGAGATCGAGAATAGAGCAGTTATGGAGTTCAGATATTGTTTCAACGAAGTTTCAAGCCTTATACATAAATGTAAAGTAAAAATCAAAGTTAAGAATGAGCAGGGAGAAGAAACTGAGAGGGAGTGCGGGGAGACTGTTAAAGTTAGTACAGATTCATATTGATTACAGAGAGCACGAAGATGTGCTACGCAAACATGGTGCAGCAAAAGGTGAGCTAGTTACATACCATAATAAATGAATAAACAGGTAGGCTAAGGTTATATTCGGTTGTACGGAGCCCCGATCATGACATGCAGACAAAATCACGGCCTCGAATTTAGAATAGGCTAGTTCTCTTTTATACCAGGACTATATTATGGCCACGAATTAAGAATTAATTTTTTCGTTTAGTCTAAATTATGGCCACGAATTAAGTATTCGTTCTCTTGTTTAGACTTAGCTGGCACGAAATAATTCGTTCGTTAATTCGTTCATTCCCTAGTTTTAGTAGGCCTAAATCGTGGAACGAATTATTATATTTCGTAATTACTTATTAAAATCATTATTGCTTAAAATTAACAAATAATAATAAATTAATAAAAAAAAAAATAATAAAACCTGCTGACGTCATAGAAACTAATTGTTAATTCGAATTATATTCGGAGCTCCGTAGTTATTAAATAATCTCAATTAGAATGAAAGTTCATTTATTTCAGTAATTCAACTCAAATTGTGAAACTCGTGTATTAAATAAATTCTAAATTCGCAGACTGAAGTAGTTTAAGTCTTTGGTTCTTTTAATTGTGATGATTTTGGCTCACATTTAACAAAAACCCACCA